CTAAAGCTTCTTTTTCAATGGTAGAGTACTTCAACTGTTGTTTGTTAAACTTTCGGGAGAAGTAACTCACGGGGTGATCGATGGCCTGTGCATCTTCTTGTAGAAGAACAGCCCCTGCCCCAACTCCGCTGGCATCGACCTCGAGCTTGAAGGGCTTAGAAAAGCCTGGTGCAGAAAGAACAGGAGTGCAACACAGAATACCTTTAAGGCTCTCAAATGACTGTTGACACTCACCGGACCAAGGAAGCTGTCAGGTGTCACAAAGGCTGAGATATCAGAAGCACGCCGTGTTAAAGGCACTTGCCAGCTTACTGACACATTTTGCAGGACCAATTTCTTCGATGCAGTCATCAATGAGCGGTAACGGGTGTGCATCGGGGACAGTGACAGCATTAACTTTGCGAAAGCCAGTGCAGAATCTGGGACTTCCATCCAACTTTGTGTCTAGCACACAAGGGGAACTCCAGGGACTGGAACTAGGCCTTGCAAATCAGTTTTTAAGAAGACACTCGACTTCCGTTTTCATAAGCTCCCTCTTAACTGGGTTAACCCTATACACACGCTGTTTGATGGGCAAAGGGTTGGTCAAGACCACATCGTGAGCTAGGACGGAAGTTTGTGAGGAGAGTGTCATTAAAAAGACATGCAAAGTCGAATATCAGTTTCTGTATATCACTTTCTTGGTTATCAGGGAGATGAGACAAGTAATTGGGCAAATCAGATAATACCTCAGTATTGCTTAGTCTTGCCCCCTGTGATGCGCATCACCAACTCATCCTCGTTTGAGCTCACCCTCAAAAATGAAGCCATAGGAGAGACGGTTGTCTCCACCTGGTGAGCTTTAGAAGACTCACTTTGGTCATCAGGGGAGCAGTACTTCTTCAGCATGTTGATATGACACTCTGGTAGGACGTCTGCGGTCAGGTGTTTGAATGACGTAGTTTGTTTCACAGAGCTTCTTATCTACAACATAAGGACCAGAACATTTGGTAGACAGAGCAGAACCAGGTACAGGCAATAGAACCAACACCTTGTCACCTGGCTGAAACAAGCGTGTTAGCGCCTTCTGGTCGTAGCGTCTGGCCATTAATATTCCAGTGAGACGAAGTACGTCCATTGACCGGAGTGATCCCATGTTAATTGTGTCCAAAAACCGGAGCATTCCCTAGCCAAGGAGCAAGCACGATGCGGACGATCCCTAAGTTTGGCGACATACTCCGGGATACTGCAAACGTTTTTCGTTGGCATGATCAAATGCTCTTTAAGAACTCTTAAAGGACCTCTGACCTCGTGTCCAAACACTAGCTTAGCAGGACTAAAACCTAGGGACTCCTGAACAGCTTCACGGGCAGCAAATAACACTAAAGGAACACCGTCATCCCAATCTTTATGAGACTCGTGGCAATGTTTTCTTAACACGCATTTCATACTCTGGTAAAACCTCTCTAATGCCCACTGACTTTCAGGATGATATGGGCTGGATGTCACATGCTTGATACCTAAGGTGTCAAGTACCCGGGCAAACACTTTAGACATGAAGTTAGTACCTTGGTCTGTTTGAACTACCTTTGGTAGACCAAACGTGGAGAAAAACTTCAGAAGTGCCTTGGTGATGACCGGGGCAGTGATTTTCCGTAGTGGGATGGCTTCTGGGAACCTAGTGGAGGCACACATGACAGTTAAGAGAAACTGGTTTCCAGTTTTAGTTTTTGGCAAGGGTCCCACACAATCCACAATCACCCTTTCAAATGGCTCTCCCATTACTGGAATGGGAATGAGAGGAGCAGGGTGAATCACCTGATTCGGTTTACCAGCAACTTGGCACACATGACATGTTCGACAATAAAGAACTACGTCAGACTTGAGTCCTGGCCAAAAGAAGTGTTTTAAAACTCTTTCATACGTTTTTGTTACCCCCATGTGACCTGACCACGGATGATCATGAGCCAAGGACATCACCTGAGAACGATAGGCTGTTGGCACGACAACCTGATAAATTGCAAAGGAGTCTGACTCCTCACAGGCATCACTAATCCAGCGACGGATCAATAGTCCATCTTCCATAATGTAGGCCATCTTCTTTGACTTGGCCTCTTCCTGACTGATAACAGAAGAGAGACATTTAGAAAGTGTTTCATCACTTAACTGGGCTGCCATGAATTCTTCCTGAGTGGCAGGCAGTTGTACAAGCTCCGAGCTGTTACTGGGTGATCCAGCACCAGCAGTCGGTCCGACGCAGTCATGTCTTCAAGAAACTGCCCTGTAGCAAGAAAAGAATCAGACAAGTCCTCTTCGTATTTCTTTGACTGGGCCCTTGTAACCATAGATATATATAAACTAGGGCCGGGACTCGATTAAAAAAATTAATCTAATTAATTACAGGCTTTGTAATTAATTAATCGCAATTAATCGCATTTTTAATCACATATAAATATTTGACCTGAGAACAGTGAGAAGCAATTTTTTTCACATGGATTTTAGTATACCATTGAATAATGACTGAATACATAAGCTTAAGCAACAAAACATTGTTAATTTGTTGGTTTTCGCAGAGTAAGTCGAAGAAGCAAGTGCAAACTGATAAACAAGTGACACCAACAAACACACAAACTTCAGTACTTGCAATCAACCACGAGGTCTATTAGCCATGGGGACTTTGAGTAGGTCACTCTTCAAGGCCGCCACGTTTTAAATTCACGCTAATTTTACGCAATTAAAAACACATTAATTAATTAGAATTAATTGCGCAATTTCAAGGGGCCCGGGAACTTATTATTTATTGTTAAATAAAACCTGCCCCGGCGGAAAGTATTGTGGGTTCCTAGTGGAAAGTCCCCGTATCCCGTTATATCCCTTGTTAATTTGTCACCTAAAAACAACTATATAGTCGGCCCACTCGTTCTGTTTGGTGTTACCTGATGTCTTCCTGTGTTTTCCTGTGTACCAATGTCACAATATAATAAGACCAGAAAAAAGTTATTTTTATAAAAGGTTTCCAAGACCTAAACAATGTTTAGATCTTCTTGATTTATGTTTTGATCCTACTATACTATCTTAGAGTACAGTTTTTATTAAACACTATTTACTCTGTCTTGACCGGACAGAAAAACCTCGTGTAAAATAAAACAAACCAAGAAAGACTAATTTCCACACTTATAGATTTATTATATGGTTTGTATAACCGATAACAGTAAACAACACAGGGACAAGAAGTTCGATTCCGTAACGTTTAATTGTTGAGAACCGAATTGTCTCACCATTGTACTCTGGCTAAAATATATATTTTACGATTTACATAAAATTAAACTATTAAATAATATTAAATAAAATTTATAATTGTTATATTATTTTATTTACCTTTATTATGTGGCCGTTTATAAATTATATTTATGGAACACACACACAACACACACACATATCGATAACGAAATAGACTAATTACAATAAAATATACTTTCCAGGTACTAATATTCATACGTCATAGTATTGATGTAGAAACTACAAATATTTTTTTGTTTGCCAACTTTTACCCAACTTTTAAACTCGTTCGATACCAAATAAATTTATCATTTGGGTATTACAATTACTTACTCTCTTGACCGGACACCCTTCTACCGCCGGTTCACCGTTTGCAGCCAGAGGGTAACCGGTCCGTCGCGCCACTCATAGATCACAAATATAATCCCGCCCTGAAATTGCGCAATTAAATTCTAATTATATGTGTTTTTCTACATGCGCAACTTTTTTTAATTGCCGTAAAATTACGCGTGAATAAAAACGTAGCGCCTTGCAAAGAGTACAACCTACTCAAAGTCCCCACATGGCTCAATATGACCTCGTGTTGATTGAAAGTACTGAAGTTTGTTGTTGTTTGGTGTCACTGTTAATCAGTTTGTACTTGCTTGTTCGACTCACTCCTGCAAATCAACCGGGGCACCTACCCTGTAAACAAAATTTTTTGCCTCTGCCTCCTTCGTAGCTATTCTCGTGCCAAGCAAACGTTTAATACGTTTTTCCTTAAACGTATAGTGGCGTCTGTGTAGTTCGGAGTTCATAGTGGAGTTACGTTTTGGATATCATCCGATCGCACCTTCGATCGCACCTTGCAATCGGGCTGAGCCGCTCATGTTCCTGGTGTGGGTTAAGCGCAACTAAGTTTGTCACCGGATAACGTTGTCTCTTAAAATAAAAAAAAAAGTAGTCCTAAAACCTTCTTATCCTCCTTAACTCCAGTTAGTGACCGTGAAAAACATAAAATAAAATTTAACCATGTCATGTGAAATACAACTTGCATAATAATACCAAACCCACGTTGACCGTAAATATACAACTGTGACAAAATACAAAACCGGTTCCAATAACTCTCTCAACCCTGACTTTACATAATCTAAAAAATTTAGTTCACAACCATTTAGTTGTTCTTCAGACAATACCGGAGACTTCGTTGTCTCTCTACAACAAGACTTAATCAGTCCCAAAGGTTACAAGACTTAACATGGAAACTTTCATAACACAATTGAATTTTTTGTTCTCACAATATCCAAATGTCTTTCCAGATGGATGGGATATCACGATGGACACTAGAGACGTTTACATGATATAAGGATTTATACGACATAACGATGTGAAATACCGTTTTTAACGTGAAAGACAACCAGAACCTATTCATGG